CCAAATTCATTTCAGAGAATGATGACTATAGCATTCTCGGGTTTAGAACCCTCTCAGGCATTCCTTTATATGGATGACTTAATGGTGATAGGATGTTCCGAAAAACACATGATTAAAAACTTAACTGATGTTTTTAATGTATGTAGGAAATATAACCTAAAGTTGCATCCAGAAAAATGTTCATTTTTCATGCATGAAGTGACATTTTTAGGTCACAAATGTACTGACAAAGGAGTATTGCCAGATGACAAGAAGTTTGACGTCATCAAAAATTATCCTGTCCCTCATGATGCGGACAGCGCGAGACGATTTGTAGCATTCTGCAATTATTATCGTCGATTTATAAAAAACTTCGCCGATTATTCACGGCACATAACTAGATTATGTAAAAAGAATGTTCCTTTTGAATGGTCAAGTGAATGCCAAAACGCATTCCAATACCTTAAAGAAAAGCTTATGCACCCCACATTATTACAATATCCTGATTTTCGCAAAGAATTTTGCATTATAACAGATGCAAGTAAACAAGCTTGCGGAGCAGTTCTAACTCAGAACCGTGATGGAATTCAGCTCCCAATAGCTTATGCATCTCGTTCATTTACAAAAGGGGAAAGCAATAAGAGCACAACAGAACAAGAGTTAGCGGCAATTCATTGGGCAATTACCCATTTTTGACCATACATTTATGGCAAACATTGTACTATTAAAACGGATCACAGACCATTGACATATCTTTTTTCTATGACTAATCCCAGTTCTAAATTAACTCGCATGCGGCTAGAGCTTGAAGAATACGACTTCACAGTAGAATACCTAAAGGGGAAAGATAATTTCGTAGCAGACGCACTTTCGCGTATTAATATAAAGGAACTCAAAGATATGCAACATAAAGTCCTGAAAGTCACTACCAGGCGACAAAGTAGACAAAATAAAAACTGTACAGTAGAAAATTATGAACTTCTGCCAAGGCAAAGTCATAAAAATGTATCCAAGCCCAACGTACATGAAGTCATTACAAATGATGAAGTACGAAAAGTAGTGACCTTGCGCATAACAGAATCTAAATGTTTATTTAAACATGGAAATAAAATTATCGCAAGAATTGAAGTTAGCGATTTATATACCAATGGAATTCTCGACCTAGGTCAGTTCTTCCAAAGGCTCGAAAAAGAGACCGGTATATTAAAAATCAGCCAACTCAAAGTGGCACCGAGCGAAAAGATCTTTGAATCAGTTTCAAGAGATTCTTTTAAAAATATGGGCAATAAAATATTAAAATCTTTAAGAGTAGCGCTACTCCAGCCGGTGACCCAAATAAAAGATGAAAAAGAGATACAACAAATATTGTCTACATACCATGACGACCCAATTCAAGGAGGTCATAGCGGCATAACAAGAACGTTAGCGAAAATAAAAAGACACTACTACTAGAAAAATATGACACGTCATATAAAAGAGTACGTACGTAGATGTCAAAAATGTCAAATGTCTAAAACAAAGACGCACACAAAAACTCCTCTGACACTCACCGAAACACCTGTGAATGCTTTCGATATAGTGATAGTGGATACTGTTGGTCCGCTACCCAAATCGGAAAATGGTAATGAATACATAGTCACATTAATATGCGACCTTACAAAATATTTAGTAGCCATTCCAATAAAAAGCAAAAGCGCAAATAATGTCGCAAAAGCTATATTCGAAATTTTCATACTCAAGTTTGGTCCAATGAAGACGTTCATTTCGGACATGGGAACAGAGTATAAAAACCAGATTTTAACTGACTTATGCAAGTATTTGAAGATCAAGAATCTCACCTCAACTGCATATCATCATCAAACATTAGGGACAATAGAACGAAGTCATCGAACTTTTAATGAATACATTCGTTCATACATCTCTGCAGACAAATCTGATTGGGATGTCTGGGTTCAATATTTCACTTATTGCTTCAACACGATACCATCAGCAACGCATGAGTATTGTCCATACGAACTAGTATTTGGCAGACTACCGAAACAGTTCATAGATTTAAACAAAACTAATTACATAGATCCTATTTATAATTTAGATGACTATTCTAAGGAAATAAAGTTTAGATTAGAAATAGCATACAAAAGAGCTAGAATTATGTTAGAAAAAGCTAAAGCTTATAGGAAATTAGCATATGATGGAAAAACAAAAAACTTTGAATTAAAAGTAGGAGATAAAGTACTTATAAGAAACGAAACAGGGCACAAATTAGACCCAGCATATTTAGGACCATATATAGTAGAGAAAATAGAAGATAATGACAACATTTTTATTAAAGATAGTAAAGACAAAAAACAAAAAGTTCATAAGAATAGATTAAAAATGTTTAATTCTTAATAAAAAAAAAAATATATATAACGGCCTGATCAACCGAATGAAAAAAACTAACTTTTTACAAATAAACGAATTATAAATTTTTATACCTTTAATAATTTTGTATTTTTATACTCCAACATTTTTAAATTTCTTGTTATATTCAAAAAAAAAAAAAAAATTTTTTTTGCAAATAAACGAAATATTACAATAAAACGTATCTTGAAAAAAACGTATAACTTAAATAATTTTGTATTTTTATATTACAACATTTTTTAAATTTCTTGTCATATTCAAAACTAAAAAAAAATTTTTAATTTTTATAAAAAAAAAAAAAATAAAAACCTTAATAATTAAGTTCATTTAATAACTACACATTCATAATGTTACGTTACTTCTCTAAAAGGGGAGGTGTAGTGCGTATATGCCCGTACAGAATACCCTGTATTCAAATATAAAGTAAGCAGCACTTTGTTGCATACAATAACAATAATAACGTAAACAAGCCCAGAGCCAGCTTATGTATTGGCTCGGTCTCAGATTACGCAGCGCGGTTCACTAGCCTCACTAGCTGGCCGTTTATGCTTACGCTGCAGATCCCACGCTCCGTCTGAGCGCATTCCGTGAGCAATATATATGCTCACTAATACACGCATATGCGAGCTACTCACTCTCCCTCTCTTTGTAGCTGTTAACGAATAACAGCATAAGTATATATGTATATCCATAGGCTAAGCGAACATTATAAATACTGAATAAATTCATTCTGATTCTGACTACAAAACGAACCACATGTCTTCATTTATTACAAATAATCAAGTACGAGTAACACAAAGTAGCTCGGAAAACGCTCAAGCCCCCTTGAGCAACAAAACGTAAAAGTTTTTAATATAAATCTAAATCTCAGCAGCATAATTAAAATACAGAATCAAAAAAATAATAAACCATTAACATTACTAATAGATACAGGAGCTAACATATCAATTCTAAAAGATAATAGCATATGCTCTGAAATTAATCAAACCTTCAAAACAAATATTACAGGAATTGGTCAGGGAACAATTCAATCAATTGGACTAGCAACAATTGATTTACTCTTCGATTATTTCATAATCAGTCATGACTTCCAAATAGTTAATAATGAATTCCCCGTACCGTGTGACGGAATCTTGGGACTTGACTTCATTCGAAAATTCGATTGCATATTAGATTATCAAAACGATGAATTAATACTAAAACCACAATCACTTAAATACCAAATACATGTGCCACTCTTACACAATGTTATCGACAATTCAATATTATTGCCAGCAAGGTCGGAAGTAGTGAGAAAAATCACACTTCAGTCAAATGAAGATGCTGTTTTAGTACCAAATCAGGAAATTCATCCTGGGGTATTTATAGCTTACAGCATCGTAAAAAGCAATAATGCAATAGTTCGTATTTTGAATACAACAAATAATAATATAAATATCGAAAATCCTAACATTGAATTCGAATCAATAGAAAATTACGAAATTAAATCGTTCAATAAAAACCAAACCAATAGAACTAATGAAGTCTTAAACAAATTAAAATTCCCAAACCATGTGAAAACAAAACTTACTGAATTATGCACCAGATACAGTGACATATTTGGTTTAGAATCAGAAGCAATTTCGAGTAACAACTTTTACAAACAAAAATTAAGATTAGCAGACAAAACTCCGGTTTACATTAAAAACTATAGAAATGCGGAAACAGAAAAACCAGAAATAAATAGACAAGTAGAAAAATTGATTAAAGATGGTATAGTCGAACCATCTATATCAGAATATAATAGCCCACTTCTCTTAGTTCCTAAGAAATCACTCCCAAATTCAAAAGAAAAAAAATGGCGTCTTGTAGTGGATTATAGGCAAGTAAATAAAAAACTTCTAGCAGATAAATATCCATTACCTAGAATAGAAGAAATCCTAGATCAATTGGGAAGAGCGAAATATTTCTCGTGTCTAGACCTAATGTCTGGCTTCCATCAAATTGAACTAGAAGAAAAATCTAGAAATATAACATCTTTTTCCACGAGCACTGGCTCATATCGCTTCACGCGATTACCACACGGCCTTAAAGTAGCCCCAAATTCATTTATGAGAATGATGCAACTTGCTTTTTCTGGTCTAGAACCATCGCAAGCATTCCTTTATATGGATGATTTAGTTGTAATTGGTTGTTCTGAAAAGCACATGTTCAAAAATCTAACAAGCATATTCGAGCTTTGTAGAAAACACAACCTTAAATTAAATCCAGAGAAATGTTCATTCTTTATGCACGAGGTAACATACCTTGGCCATAAATGTACGGACCATGGCATCCTTCCGGATGATAAAAAATATGATGTAATTAAAAATTATCCAACTCCAACAGATCCGGATAGTGCACGACGTTTCGTCGCTTTTTGTAACTACTATAAAAGATTCATTAATAATTTCGCATAATACTCACGTCACTTGACAAGACTGTGCATTTGGCGTAGCCAAATAACTTAAAAGCAATATTTGACGTCAGTAAGCACAAGTATTCGCGGTTTCATGTCCGTAGCTTTTATAGAAACGAAAACATTTCGTTCTACAGACAGATGCACGTACATTCCGCAAAACTAATAACACTGTGAGGAATATTAGCTCGCAAATGACTGCGAATATTTAATTGTTGTTTAGTGAGATTATATTACATTTTAGACATATTACATGTCTGTTAACCAGAAAATTTTTTAGAAAAACAACACAAAAGTGATAATAGCTTTGATAAAATATAACTTTTTTTGGTCATCGTGCTCTTCCTGAAAAAGCCATACATAAAATACTAACAAGTTCAAGAATAGGTTAGTTAGCAAGTTTTATAATTATTGCCACATAAATTATTGTCGGTTAAGCTTAAAACGTTGAACGCACATACCAAGACATACGTTTCTTTGCTAACATAATCAGCCAATCACATTGCCAGCGTTTCTTTGATGATTTTTTTCATGGCATTTCCCATTGAAGGTGCCGTTGATCCGGAAGTTGAATAATCGAATTTGAACAAATATGGCTGTACATCGGGAAACGAAGTGTCGAAGATCAGATCAAGCTCGCTTTGACTTGGCGTCTTAGGCACATAATCGTGTCGGTTCATTAATTCTGTAATGTATATAACCTTTTCGGTAAGCAGGTCCGACACATTTTCGCGGCAGAGCTGGCGCTCATCCTCGTTTTCGTGCTTAATTAAATCCAGGTGTACTGTCCACACCTCCCATGGTATAGACTCCTGTGTAAATAGCCAACGATTTTTCTTTTTCTGAAAAAACTCCAAGCTGATCTGTCCGGATCCGCAGCTTTCATTTGAACGCAACTTTTCGCTAAACAAATTGATGGCACGCTTCACCCTGCGCGTAAGGCTATCTGATGTGCAGCAAACATATGTAAAATCAATAAAGTCACAATCAACATCTGAATACCCCACGGTCCCAATGGAGTATTGTGCATCTCCCGTATACATATATTTGCCCAAACAGCGGTGAAAAAGCACTGTGTGAAATATGCCGGCCACTGCCTCATCCACCTGGCGACCTTCCATAGTTAGATCAAATATCTGTGAGCGTGCGTTCATTCTAGAAGTCGACTCTATGATTTAATAATCGAGTACAGTTTTTCGTTGGGGCTGAGCTTGCTCAAAAATTTTTACTGTTTGGTGATTCGTGCTTTGCCACGACGAAGCTAAGTTCCGTTATATCTCTTTTTCACCTGCACTCGCTATTACATATATGATTATAAATATACTCTAAGCTTAAGCTCTAATAGTAATCATTAAGAAATAGATTAAACAACGTTTTCATTCCCTCTATCAAATTAATAATGTTGTAAAAGCTTAGATTAAATGTCGCATTGCTTGTTTCCGTTCAATATAGTTATTTAAACTCTTCAATATTTGGGAAACAGATTTGTTTGTTACCATTCTTCAGCTAATGGTATATCAATCTGTGGTTTAAATTTATAAGATCGTACCTATATATTCGGACATGCCTCAAAATCGGTCAACTTTATATGAAATATTTGCGTTAACAGAATGTTCTCCCGCTTGACATCTCGATAGAATATGCCAACGTTGTGCAGGAAGTCTAGATGAAAAGCAAATCGATAAGTCCATTATCTGTTTGAATAAAGGAAACCAATGTGAACTCACCTATAACAAGCGAAATTTTACCAACTTACAACTGCAACAAGTCATGAGGGAAGTGATCAACTTTGACAGACGATTCGCCATTGGGTAGGTAATCGGGTACTACAAAAAATTTAAAAACAAATGTCTGTTAAGTATATGTTATAATGATAATAGGTAGCACGATTAATTAGTAAATCCATATACTAATAAACGTATACCGTATACCAATTGGTCTCCCAGTTTTAAAACTATCGTCTCGAAACATTGCAAAAGTCCGTCTTTCTGTTGTATATACTGCCTGCCGGTTCAGACCACGTATATACCTTAGCTCTCACAGTAAAAATTGGTCAAAAAGTAAGTTCTTTTAGACATACTTTTTTGTTTGTTAGTTTTTTTTAGTTTTCCTATTCTGCTTACATGCATGCAAAACCTTTTCATCAGAGGACCACTTATTATATAGCTGGCATAATCGCTCAAAAAGAAGGTTTTTGTATTAACCAATTTTTGTATATCAAGATAGCTTGACTATGCTGCTAATAAATAAGCAAAATCTTTTGAAGATCGGACTACTATATTATATAGCTCTATATAAAGAATCGCTTTAGAAATTAGTTTTTGCATATATTCCGCTTTCTAAGATATTTTCACCAATCTCAGAACTTACGAGCTATTATTTTATATCTGCTAAGTCTTAAGGCAAATATCCACAAGGATATTAAGATTTCGGTCTACCGAATATATGCGTCCTTTTCGCTGATTATGGGGTTTGTGACTCTTAACTTTAACTTTTCCTTCTTATCTGTTATTTCCAATTTAAAAATCATTGATTTCAATCCTTTTTCATCAGTTCGTGTTTGGAAAAATTTTCACGTGATATTATTCTTTGTTTCCTGGCATAACTATTATAATATCGGCACGAAATGTGTAAATGAGAAATGTCATGCCATAGATAAATCAGCATCTACAGTCAAGTTTATATAGCAATGTCCGTTTGTTTATTTAGGATATCGTACAAACGTGACTTGTATGCCTGTATGAACGCATTGCAGATTACAAGAGCTAAAGTTGATGCTATAATATAAGAACACCCTCTTTTTAAAAGCATAAGCTTGGGTTATTCAGAATGGCGCGAAATAAATTCACAAAAAGTTCTCAGAGCCTAGATAATTTTGGTTACAAGTTTATTTAATTTTTTTTTTATTTATATATACGAATTTATATTTATATATACGAATATGAAGATGATCTTACCAATAATCGATTTGCTTTACTATTAAGGGACGATGGCCAGTAACCTGCAAGATAACAAAATGTACATAAATAGGTTATAAAGAATAATGAATGTGAGCTCCGTACCTTGCTTTCTTCTTTTTATTTTACGAGCGTGGCCAGGGTTATTGCTGCAACGAAGAATTACTTGCTGCTGAATATTTACAGTCGAATCTAAGTTATGAATCAGTTTTCGGACATGGCATTTTGTAAAGTCGTGAACGTTGTAAAGATGTAAGTCCCTGTTTAAAGAAAAAAAAGAAAGGCCAAAATAAATAAATAATGCAGCTTGTTTTTTAAGATAGTTGGTTGCAATTCTATAGATTTATATAAGGTTCTCGTTATCATGCCCCTAATTCCGTATTGATAATCGGCAAGAGACTTTACGACTATTTGATAAGACTATGCCCTTCTCAATCCTCACCAATTCAGCATCTCAGTCAGTCACTTTTATTGATGTTTTGGAAAAATTTTATTTACCATCATTATTCGATTGTGTGCGCAATGAGAATACTCGAAATCTCAAGATATATTATCAGAACATCTCTGGAATGCGAACAAAGTAGTCTTTATATCATAGTACTTATCATGACTTAGGTTAACTTGGATTTCTATGATGAAAAATTTGTTGACTCGAAAACCTTTCGTCTTTTGTAACGACAAAAACGCAATGAAAGTACAGAGCTCGAGAGCGGGTAGTGTCATAACAGCTACGTTATTTAGGCCATTTGGCCTTAATAATATGCAACAGAAACCCATCTCCGGAGACGCAAAAGGAAGATATGCCTGCATCTCCTACATGGTCTCTGCTTCCAGCTTCCTGAATTTGCACGGATTTTTAGCATCATAGCAGCAGACGAGCACATGCACTCGTCATATCCGGCGAGGTAATCAGAGAACGAACAGACGCCTTTGTTACAGCAATAGCAATAGCAATAGCAAAGAAAAAGCACAAATTACTATCTACTGGTAGAATCGTAAAATCGAGAATACTCGCAAAAGGTGGCACTCTGCAATACGCTAATTAAATTGCTGAAGTCGTCCGTGTCAAGCAAACAAAGTGTTAATGGGCAAACTTGAAGTGCTGTACCGTCCTACCCGGAGCACCATAAACAGTGGAAGCACTATTCCCGGATCAGCTAATCAATGTCATCATCTCTCAACTGCGGACATTCTGATGGTGCCTTGAATCGACTCAGTTAAGATTATTGCCGCAAATGATATAAAACGAAGCGACAAAGAACAACTGCAAGTGGAGACAATAACCATTTAAATAATATTGCCTCAACTTAAAGTTGGTGGAATAAGTATAATGTATATAAAACGTATACCATCATACAGACTGTACAAACACATTATCAAAATAATAAATAAAATTTTACAGCGGGCTCTAAAAATAATATAAGCGAGAAAGAAAGGCTATCATCGGCACGCCGAAGATCTAATACCCTTGCAGAACCAACCTTTTCATAATGCTTATAGTGCTTTGCCCGTATCTAAGAAGCACAGGGAAAATAGTTAATGCCGAGATTGGGCAAGATATCTTAAAAAACAAAATGTTTTTTCATACAACAACTTAATTTTCGACCGATCGTTCCTATGGCAGCTATATGATATAGTGGTCTGATCTTAATAGGATTTTGCATATATATCAGAAGTAAAGTAAAACTAATAAATGCCGAGTTTGGTCAAGATATCTTGATAAACAAAATGTTTTTTCATACAAAAACTTAATTTTCGACCGATCGTTCCTATGGCAGCTATATGATAGTGGTCCGATCCAGCTGGTTTTCACATATGTACTGCGTGCAACAGAAAGACGGACTTCTGCAAAATTCATTAAGATAGCTTTAAAACTGAGAGACTAGTTTGCATAGAAACAGACAGACGGACATGGCTATATCGACTCGGCTGTTGATGCTGATCAAGAATATATATACTTTATGGGGTCGGAGATGTCTCCTTCTATGCGTTACACATTTCACGACAAAATTATAATACCCTCTGCAAGGGTAGAAAAACGCGTTGGACTTAAAACACAGAGTAAACAATTCCAACATTAGTATCGCTCGACATAACATTCTTGTTTTCCAGTATACTAAGGAAATTTGCACTGGACACAAAAAATGGATAATGGACCAACTTAAAATAACACACAATTATACTGAAACAAATATTTATTGACATAGTTAAATAAATATTCAGAAAAAAACGGTCCTAGTCGGGACTATCCGACTAGGAGATATCCTGAACCCACTTCAACCAACATTAAATGAGGCTCGCGCTACAAACTCATTTGCCTTATCAGTAACAAAACTAAATTGATTTATAGCTATGTGGTGGTGGCGGGGCGGATGCGATAGCTATGAAATGGAAGCTACTTCATATATATACTATTCTGAAAGCTAAATGTCAAGTTTGGTGACTCCAGCTCTTATAAGATAGGAGATTTGCTCAATAAACAGGATTTCGATATCAATCTATATCGATTCCTTGAAAATGGGGAAAGTTATCGAATATCGAAAAGAAACTCGTTCTGCGCGGGCACTAGGACCTGTTTTCAACATTTTAAGTCTCTAGCTCTCATAGGTTCTAAAATCCGTTCATAAATACGGCCAGACAGACGGACATGGCTAGATCGATTCGGCTATTGATGCTGATCAAGAATATATATACTTTATGGGGCCGGAGGTGTTTCCTTCTGCCTGTTACATTCATTCGCACAAAAACATTATACCCTTTTAAACCATTTTTAATGGGTTTGGGGTATAAATAGAATGCCAATGGGATCACCGGCCTCCTCAGTAATCGCAGACATAATAATGGAAAAACGGTTGGACAATATTGATAAATTACAAATATAACCAAGACAAAACAGAAGTACATTCTGAGAGGACTGAACTCTTTTTCATAAACACATTAAATTTATAACTGAACTAAAACAAATAAGAGGTTCTAGTCGGGAGCTCCCGACCAGGGGATACCCTGAACCCTCTTCTTCCAACATCAAATGCATATATATATTCTATTTTAAAAGCTATATTTCAAGTTTGGTGACTCTAGCTCTTATTATTTACCAAAATTGCCCAAAAAACAGGATATCGATATCGATTTTTATCGATTGCTTGGAAACGGAGTAAGTTATCGATTATCGGAAACAAACTCGATCTGCGCGGGAACTAGGAGCATCTACATCTAAAATTTCAATTCAATTTCTAGACCTTATAGGTTCTGAGATCCTTGCATTCATACATACGGACGGACGCACGGACGGACGGACGGACAGACAGACGGACATATTTGAGTGTGTTGTTATTCCCTGCTCTGGCTTTCGCTGGCAAAGAAATAAATTTTGTTAGTTTTCTAGCGATGATATAGACATGCATGTGTAGATTTGCACGCATAATTCACACAAACATATGTGTCTCGAGCAAACACTGTCCAAAAACAAAAGTAAAATCAGTCTACGTGTATTTTTTTCTGATAATAGTTATTGCACAAGCTGCACTCTGTGATAACATTAAATTTTAAACAAATTTATCTATAGTATATAGGGTAATGTATTATTCAAATAAAGAATGCATTTCATGAATAAAGAAAAAGTACTTTGCGTCGAACGTTAGTTTAAAACTTTTTCGATTAATGTACTTCAAAAACGAAGCGACGCAAAGATCGTCTGGCTTTTGGAGAGCGATAAGCCACTCGGCTGGCATGTCGTGTGAAGTGGGTAAAGCCAGATGAGAAGTCAGGCTACAATTTTGCGTCGCATTCAAATGTATGGGCGTTACTCATCTTAGTGTTTAAATTGTCTTTGGTAATAATTCATTTTAAATCATCAAAAAGTTTCCGCGTTTGTTTCCAATCAACACAAATCTATAACGAGATCCCGACTTTAAGAGTGAGAATCACAAAATTGGACATGTAGCTTCTCGTATAATAAATTTAATTTTTTGGATAACACATAACCCGGTAAGTCGAAAATTCAAATTGGAAACACACAACAGTTCTATATCCTACTTTTGGCTGGCCTTTTAGCGAATATAATATTATATTAATATTCCATGGAACAAGCAAATTTTTTGCAGAACAATATTTCAAGACTGTTCAAGAAAGAAAATATTCGTATATGCTCAAAAGACAATTGCATTCAAATTATGGCTTTGATTGGTGGGCAATTCCTTTTGATTTACTTAATGTGCCTTAGTAATGGGGAGGAGGCGGGTAGTGGCGATAACTATAAAATGATCTGCAAATACTATTATAGAAGCTTCATGTCAAATTTGGTGTCTCTAACTCTTAATACATAAGAGATTTGCTCAAAAACAGGATTTCAATATTGATTTATACCGATTGCTTTGAAACGAGAATGTTATTATCAGATACAATCTCGATCTGCGCGGTCACTAGGAGTTTATAATTTCAAATCTCTAGCACTTTAGGTTCTGAGATAGACACGTTCATAAGCAGCACAGACAGATGGTCATGACTAGGTAGACTCGACTATTGATGCTAGTTAAATACATATATATATACTTAATGGGCTCGGAGATGCTTCCTTCTGTCTGTCACATTTTTATAACCTGAACGAACCCATTAAAAATGGGTATTAAAGGTATAATTTTTTTGTGCAAATGTATGTAACACGCAGAAGGAAGCATCTCCGACCACATAAAGTATATATATTCTTGATCAGCATCAATAGCCGAGTCGATATAGCCACGTCCGTTTGTCTGTCCGCCCGCATGTATGAACGCAAGCTAGAGACCTGAAATAGCCACCAAACTTGACATGTAGCTTAAAAAATATTATATATATATATATATCAAGTATCTTTCATTTTGTAGCTATCAGCACCTTCTACCTAGCTAGAAATCAAGTTAAAACACCAATTTATACTGTCCATCAATATAATCCTCAACTTAAATGTCAATATTTTGTTGAGTTGAGGGGGCAGCAAATAATGCGGTCAGTTGCGAGTTCGAACCCTGCCAAGCGAACCTTCTGTTTTTTATTTATCTTTATTAATACTAAAGCAAAAGAGCGCGTAGCACGAGCTGCATATGGAATAAGAGGGTTCAGGGCTCCCTAGCCGGGAGCTCCCGACTGTAACCTCTTACTTGTTTTGGAATGTTTTGTGTATGTGAAGGTGGAAATTCATAAGTCCCAAAAACATCAAAACTTGTCAAACTTGCATCAGATAGCCAGGCAATCAAACAGTCAACAAGCGCATAGATGCTTGTATACACATACAAACTTGTGTAAAAGTGTGTGCGAGACCGGTCAAAAAAGTCTGCATGCACACATGGCAGCGCTAGGGCATCCTTACCAACAACAACCATGTAACATTTTTTGCACCGATTTGTTTCTTTTCTTATCCATGTTAAAATTTGCGTTGCGTCCTGTAGTTTAGTTTGAACGAGGTAATGAAATAACAAATAATTCTGTATTGGGCATTTAAACTGCTGAGATATACATATTTAAATAAGACGACGTTCCTCAATGATTAAATATTTTTCTGACATTATAGACTATCTGATCACATATATGTAACTGACAACGTATGCCAAAAATACCTACATATGTATAGATACTACCGTTACCCTTTCTGCATTTCTGCTAAAGTGCTAACATAATACGGTGCAGACTTTATTAGAGCCAAAATCGTGCCTTTTTGTTATTTAAGTATAACTTTTGTATTATTAAACATACTGTATAATTTTTTTTCTTAAATGCAGTTAATAAATGTAAAAATAAAACTTCCCTTCCGCGAGTTAGTTTGTTCTGTTTTCTAAGGTTCTATGGTTTGTTCTACGACGTAGTGTGTTTTTACTAAGGAAAATATGTACTTGTATAAAATAAAAACAAAGATAAAAACAGATAACATAGGTGTATTGTGAATGTGCATCTATAATTAAAGTTACATGTACATATAAGCATAGATATTAGCATTGGTATGCATATACCTACTCCTACATACATACATATACATATGTACATACATACGTTTATCAATGGTGCGAATTTGAATATGTTTGCTGCCTTTACTAACCTTACACCACTGTTTTGCTGTTGAATTCGATGACCTTTAAGGGTTATATTTTTATTAGGTATTGGTTATGCGTTGGTTATAAACACTTTTTGTAAAGCTGGCGTGGTGCTACTTTTCCAGTCAATAGAAGTCACACGCATATGTTTTGGATGAACTGCCACCACCTTTAAAGATAGTGATTCTGTTCCTCCTGATTCGTTCATCTAATAAAACAGTGTGGATACCACTGCTGCAGCTTCCGTTTTTATGCTTTTCTGCGAGTATATGGCAATGTTGGTACTTATCATTCTTCAGATTCACTAAATTTTATTTCCAATGCTTAAACGATAGATTTATTTCATTTTGTGTGAGGTCAGACAATATCGAAGAATCGATTAATCGATTATTGCCACAGGCTTATGATAATTCCGCGTTTCCGCTGCACGGTATTGGAGCATGCGTATAATACTGTTGTTATAATTAATTATTACGCGAGTTGCTAATAAAAAATATGTATATATATATATACATATGTAAATTCTTTATATTCAGAAGAAGGAAAAGATGAACAGGGAATCACCATATTTTAGCTCTGATTTGTTTTAGTGCCTAATGTTGCTTACGAGAAACTTTAGCTTTGGCGATCGGCTGAGTTCGCCATGCTTATTCTCGCTTGCTGCTTTTGAATGCTTAGTCAGAATTTTTTGCTTCATGAGTATAAAGATCGTAATAAATACTTAAGTATTAAATTTACGGGCATTTTTTTTTTGTTTTAGTCACCCCTCATAGGCAGCGTCAAGAACAGTCAGGGGTGGTGTTGTATATCTTATTAACGTATTTTTTCTTCTGAAGAAGACATTTCCTTCGGAACTTACTTTTCTTGCGTATTATATAACGCGGTGGTAGAACGATTGTCGAGTGTCATGCAGGGATGATAATATTTTATTATTTACTTTCGATGGTTTTGAACTATCATCAACGCATCTAGAAGAGCAAATGGGAGCTGCTAACTATCGATTTATGTCGAATTTTCGATTTGGCGGATGGTAAATACATAATACCACTAACCATACAATACATAGATATACCAATCAGAATTTTTATCGGAACACGATAAATCGCAACGAGGGAGCCCCAAGGGTGCCTGCGACAATTTTAGTGTGCCCAGACAGAGTATGACTGCTGAGAGTGGCAGCCGAACGCCGGCCTCGAAAGCCGAACGTTCAGTATGAAGCCGCATCTCGCTCAGCGCACGACGTCGCTGCGGCTGATGCTTTTTCTTAATATATGTATTTGTATTTATTTATGTATTTTTCTTAATATATGTATGCCAGTTTTAAATCCTACAGCCCAAATAAATACATATGTGTTTACGCATGTGCAGAGTGTGCCTCGCTCTCACTTGTTGCTCATTGCGAGGTTATTTCTTCAATTGTGTGCCTTTTGTGCCTGTGGTAGCAATAATTCAAATGCTCTATCAAGTATTTCTTCGTCCAGTCAGGCATAATGAAAAGAATCTGAATCTATATTTATAAAATAAACAATTCATTGACCTAAATGAAATATTTATTTATTTGTATTTATTTTCTGTTTACTGTAGGGACCTATTTTTCTTAAAATGTAATAATATCTAAGTCGTATTTCTGCAAGGGTGGATCGCACTTGTCGCTAGTTAGCACTGATATGGAAAAAATGCCAGTGATATTTTTATGAATTTTTTGACATTGTTATATTTTTAGGTTAAGGGGTTTTCTGACAGGCAATGAACGATCAGAATGTCTAACATGCGTCTGGAACCATACCATTTTCTTTGCCTGTTCACACATTTGTGCCTTTTGTGGACGCAAGCCCACCGCAGACCAGTGTTGCCATTTATTGAGCAACCAAAAAAGCTAAATCTGCTTTAAAAAAAAACGCAAAAAGAAGCCGAACAAAAAGCTGAAATTTTAATGGCATTGTTGTTTGATATTTTCAATAAAAGCAATAGTGTATTCACAAAATTCAACAACTTTTATAATAAAATAATTAAAGCATATGGACATAAAGATATATTAAAAAAAAAATTACCTTTGGCAGGGTTTGAACTCGCATTTATCCGCACTACCTGCCGCCGTCTCTACTCAACAGCGACACCAGCCAAAAAAAAAAAAAAAATAGTTTCCCCGGTAGTGCTCGAACTCGCGACAGACCGCAACACTTGCTATGCCTCTACTCAACAGCCACACCTATAGTTGAGTCTTATTGAGAAAAAAAAACGAATTAAAATAGCAGCACTAAAAACAATACAATCGAATTCGAAGCAGACGCGCATGAATGTGTGTGTGTACATGTATACAGAAATTCTTGGATTTTGCGTTGCAAGCACGTGAGCAGTCAAAATACCGAAAAACAAAACAAAAACCGATCTTCATGAAATTGTCTACAGTATATCTTATTGTACCATAGAATATTTGTGTATTCTCGAAAAGTAAATTGCATTAAAATTGTGGCTTAAATTTGTGTGCAATACAAGTCGGGTTATTAACTTGATTTGTAGCTATGAGGTAGTAGCGGGGATGTGGCGATAGATATAAAATGAAAGATATTTGATGTATATATATAGTAAAGATATCACTTTTGGTGAATCTTGCTCTTATTAGTTACCCAATTTGCTCAAAAAACAGGATTTCGATAGTTAAAAGTCTCTTTAAGTCTCTTATAGTTTATAAGATCCTTGCGTTCATACATACGGACGGACGGACAGACGGGCAGACAGACGGATATGGCTAGATCGACTCGGCTATTGAAGCTGATCAAGAATATATATATACTTTTTGGGGTCGGAGATGCTTCCTTCTGCCTGTTACATATATTTTCACACATACAATATACACTTTTTACCCATTTTCAATGGGTTCAGGCTATAAAAAACTCCGCAATGTTAAATGTAACGAGAAAAATAATAATGCGAATAGTCAAGTAGAAACTGATGCAGTTAAACTTGTATTTCAGGGCGACTTAAGAATTTCAACGCAGCGATATGTTTCAAAACTTCAAAAATTTCCCTCGTACAATTATTTCGACGGCAATTCAAATGGAACCTACAAGCAACTTGATACAACAAGTTTGAAGAAGTTGCAGCCGTGGCTATACTTCAGGGCGACTTATAGACAAAAGGCAGCACAATCAAACCCATCGAACAAGGGCGACTAGTGTATCAAAGGCAGAAATCCACAATTAATTAAGCTACCCACTTACGCATCACAACACGTCCAAATAAACTAGTACAAGCGGTGTTAAATTTCAGGGGGACTTGGGCACCAAAGGCAGAAATACAAAATGAAATAAACTACCCACTTACGCGACAAAACAAGTTGCGACAATTATGTTTAAATCGGTATTTCAATGCGACTTACCTATGAAAATAACACCATCGATCGAATATCGCTCATTTTGGCAAAAACAAAAATATGAAACAAGTAAGAGGTTCTAGTCGGGAGCTCCCGACTAGGGGATACCCTGAACCCTCATCTTCCAATGCATATATATATTCTATATTAGAAGCTATATGTCAAGTTTGGTAACTCTAGCTCTTATTATTTACCAAAATTGCCCAAAAAACAGGATATCGATATAGATTGCTTGGAAATGGAGTAAGTTATCGATTATCGGAAACAATCTCGATCTGCGCGGGACTAGGAGCATCTACATCTAAAATTTCAAGTCTCTAGCTCTTATAGGTTCTGAGATCCTTGCGTTCATACATACGGACGGACGCACGGACGGACAGACAGACGGACATAGCTAGATCGACTCGGCTATTGATGCTGATCAAGAATATGTACACTTTATGGGGTCGGAGATGCTTCCTTCTGCCGGTTACATACATTTGGATTTTGCATACATACAATATACCCTTATACCCATTTTTAATGGGTTCAGGGTATCATTAATAACGAATACATTACTAATAAAATCGAATCTACAGATAAGACACACGTTACACCAAGGCGACCTTCATCTTTCGCAAGATTCGTATATTTTGTTTAAACATTAATCAAATGGGAACATATTAATAAGTGACCTAATCACACTCAAACTGAACACCTTAAATACATAACACTAAACACAAACACTTAAAAATAGATTAAATATTAACAAATTAATTCAGATTTTGGAAAGGTAGAAAGCCAACAAATATTAAACGTCGAATATTGGGAGAGTAAAAAGACCTATTCCAAATACCGGAAGTAGGCAAAATATTAGTTCTAACCTTCCGGACGTTAGAGAAAACCGGACACTTGTTAGAACGGACGATATTACACCCATCACTTCAATTTCAAGTTCGCTTCCTCCTAATCAAGTATAGGCATTAAAAATCAAATGGACGCTGTTTCATCTTTAAAGATACCAGAATATCAAGCTATTCCCGATCCCAAGCACAAAAAAACACAAATCATGTCTTTTCTAGGATTTAAGGGTACTACCGAAAATTAATCAGGGACTTCTCTAAGATAACAAAACAACTGGCACAACAGTTGAAAAAAAAGCTGTAATTATTAGCGAAGAATTCTTATCGGCATTCGAAACTTGTAAAAACATTTTTTGCAAGATCAATTATTCGGCTGTTGAAAAATAAGTGCTCGATAATTTGGGCAACCAAATATTTCCGTCCTAATTTGCTTAAACAAAAATTCAAGATTGTCACAGACCATAGACCACTCAGGGGCTTATGAATTTCAATGAACCAAACTCAAAATTGGTTCGTTGGATTTTACAATTACTCAAATACGATAATGAGATTTCTTATAAAAAACCATCGGAGAATGTCGTAGCCGACAGTAATTGTAAACGTGAACAATCAAGTAAACGAAGCAGACAACAACTTCAGTTCTTATAACAAATAAACCAATTATTGAATATTACCTGAATAAAAGTTCAACCCCATTTAAAAACAAAATAAGAAGAACAATTTAAGAGACCCACTTCGATATAGACAAAATATCCCAAATACTAATTAAAATTCTAAAGCTTAGCAGAACGCACGCAGTTACCGCCCCAACAACATTTTCAACGTTATAGAAGTAACTCTCAAGCCCACAATCCTTACAAAATGATCAGAAATACAATAATGTTAGAAGACATGACAGACTCAAGTAAATTAGAACAAGAAGTCCAGAAATATCACAGGGATAGCAACCACAGGGACATAGATGAATCAGCAGCCCAGCTAAGGACAAAATAAAAGTGGCCGCTATTATCGATGATTGCGATTCCAGCCAGCGGACAGCCTAAATAAATAAATATATGAGAAGTTTTCACGCTTCTTTCGGTATTCCGGAAAAAAAATATATGTGAGGGTGCGGAATTTTTAGGAA